AGAGGGGGAGGGGGAGAGGAGGGAAGGGGGAGGGGGAGGAACAGCTAGTTGTTTTTGAATCCCTATCTTATACAGGTACCTTATTCATTCTTTATAACATTAACCAAAGTCTTTGTCAAAGTCTTTGATCAAAGCCAGCCTACTACAGTCTCTCAGAGGGGGCAGGGCTGATGTGATATTGTAGCAGTCAAACTAGACACCTGTTTGAGACACTGTTCGCGGCTGCGTACATCTCGTACCTCATCAGAGAGTATCAAGTGTGAAATATCCTCCTTCCTGTTTGTATCGATTGATAATACCTGGAGGCTCTGTGAGCTCTCTCTTTGCTGATACTTAGGGTCCGTTCACATATTATCTTATAGCGTTCCTAATCTCAATCTCTTTCTACAACATTGTATAATAGTTACTTGATTGCAGACCATTTGATGTGTTAATGATACTTTGGTTAGGGAGTAGACATTCTCATGCTAAATTGTTGATATGCTTAAGAATCTTTTTGCACTCTCTCTATTTTCATATATCGGCACATATTTATAATCCGTCGAAACCAGTTTTCTGATGGCTTATGAAACCATACACTGAAAAATTCTTAAACTTAAGCATAAGATAACATCCTACATATGATAAGAGCAAGTAATCACAATTCATATCCTAATGTCATTTTATCTCATATTTTGGGAGAATATTAAATAATTCACATGTGCTCACTGAAAATAAGTATATTAATGTCTATTGTAGATTCGGTGTGAAAGGTGTATAAAGGAATACTATTGAGGTGCTTGACTGATTTGAAAACAAGATCATATTAGATTTATTGATGGTCTATATAGAGTACAGGATCTCTATTTCTCTTCTATAAGCTGTATGACAGCTATTATAATGATACTTCTAGATGTATCATTCTAGCACAGAATATATCTTTACTATACTCCTCTTACACTCAAAAACAAATATTTTCAGCTTTTCGCGAGGTGAAAAGAGCTTATTTTGCAGGGTTTTCTTTCAAAGCTGAAAAACCCGTACTGTCTATCTTGCCTGTGGAAATGTGTTAATGGGACATAATCGGATAAAATGTGTGGATATAGATAAAATAATGGGATCAAATGGTGTACTATTACTGTCAGTTTACTATCAAATATTTGAATTATAAATTGCTGTCCTGATAAAAAATTGTCAATTTTGCCTTGGGTAAACATGACAAATTACTCCATGTGAACTATAAAAAAAAATAGAAAGACAAAAAACTGAAATCAGTAATTCTTAGCACATAAAATATAATGTATATAAAAGTAAAACAAAAGATTAGAAACACTGATCATATTTCAATGATGGGTGGGTAAATAATGCTTTTGTATAAAGATTGTAATACCCCATTTTTCTATCACAGCTCAAGTTCATGGGCCCTAGAAAATGCAAGCCAATCTGAAATAGGACGAAGTTCAGAATCATAGCCAGATGTTATAAAAGATGAAACATAATATCCCATCAAACTGTTTCCATTGACACCGATCATCATTTGCAAGTTAAACAGCATAGGGTGTAATGTACAAACCATCATGTGGATACCGGATGATGACGGGGTCCTGTTTCTGCAAGCTGGCATCAATTCTAACTTTCTTTTAATCATGCATCTCTTGGGAGAAACAGCAGGCATTTGATACCCATGGTGGTATTCATCATTCATTGTCTCACCTTCCTGGGGTTAATTTATAATAATAATAATAATATGGATATTTATATAGCGCCGGTATCCGCCAGGCTCTGACGCTCATGGCGCTGTACATACATGTATTACTATCACAAAAATATAACTTCTTAACTAAAATAAAGTAAACTAAAACACAAATTATAACGCTACATTGACATGATTAGATAGCACTGTTTAGAAAGAGATGGGTTTTTAGAGCAACTTTGAAGGCATGAAGGGTAGTTAAATTACGAATACTAACTGGCAGCTTATTCCAAAGGGACGGACCAGAATGAGAAAATGCTCTATCCCCCCAGGAACTGCGCGTCTTAGGGACAACTAATAAGGAGGATTGAGATGAACGAAGATGTCTTGTAGGCTTATACTTAACAATCAACTTGATATTGTAGGAAGGAGCAGAGTCATACAAGGAATGGAAAACTAGCAACAACAACTTAAAAATAATTCGGTCACATACCGGGAGCCAGTGAAGAGTTTTGAGAATGGGGGTGATGTGGGTTCTACGAGAAGAAAGTGTGACAATACGTGCAGCAGTATTTTGCAGTTTCTGGAGTCGAGAAAGTTGTGTGTTAGGGAGCAGATAGAGAATAGAATTACAGAAATCTAAGCGTGATGAAATAAGAGCATGTACAAGTTTCTCTGTGGTTGAACGACTTAAGTATTTCCTAATAAAACCTAGATTTCTCAGTTGATATCTGACTGACTTACAAATACTAGAAACATGAGTTGACAATGACATAGACGAGTTTAACATGACACCAAGGTTACGACATTGCGAGGAAGGATGAATTACAGAATCTGATATGGATATATTGAACGACTGTATCTTAGCAAGATTTGATTTGGAACCCAATAAAATTAATTCAGTTTTACTATCATTCAGTTTGAGTGAGTTCGAGTTCATCCAAGTTTGCACATCTTTGACGCAAGCATCGAGTAGTTTGACAGTCCGACTTGCGTCATTTTGATTGGGAAGGAACGATGCGTAGATCTGGATGTCATCTGCATAGCAGTGATACTTGACATCATGCTGCTGTAAAACTTGCTTGAGCCTAGTGATGTACAAGGAAAACAGCAACGGCCCCCCGACTGACCCCTGCGGGACGCCACAACTGAGCTTGACAGGATCAGATCTTTCATGATTTACACATACCGACAGAGATAAAGATGCTTGTGTGCATGCGCATGGTATCATGATGATGGGGTGATAGAGTTGTTTTCTAAATGATTATGGGCCATGCATCCTTTCAGTCTCACCGCAGGAGAAATAAAGGCTTAAAAACTGTGAAATATGCAGAATTAGAGTTGCTCCCTGATTCAGCGATGATACATCAAATTATTCATTGAAATATGAATGAATGCAGTAGACAGGAGTTTAATAGGAAATTAGTTGGTGGTAATGTTTTAGAAAGTGTTGTGATGACAAATGGGGTGTATGACGAGGTGAAAGTCATTTATATCTAGGATTCAAAAGTGCGTTGAACTTCTACGATGGAAGAAATAAGAAATGGCATGTTGGGTTTGAACAAAATGCCAGCCAGGATGGTTACTAAAAAGTATTATTTATTTAGAAAACTTGAGTCTTACTGTTCCTTAAAGGCTTGCCGTCTATAGTGCTATCGTCCAAGCTCTTCCAAATTAGATTTGGAAAACTAGTTGAACGTGAACATCAAAATATGAAAATTGCATCCCTAAAAATAGTTTGAAAAAATTGGGCCTCAAAAACTGTGATGCTGACGTCACTTCTTTCCAAACAGCATAAACAAAATATCAGTGTTCTAAATTGTGTACCGGTAATCACATTGTATCACATGATCCCAATTACCTAATACTCCAAAGTATGTTAGAAAACAACAATGTAATAAAGACATCAATTTAAAAGGTAATTATGTTCCTCCAAGGAAGAGCGTTTGTATTTTTGATAGAAATTAGATCTTTTAAGGACTTCAAGGCTTTAGGTGGTATCATATATCAAATCCCTGGATGGGTTTCAGTTGGCTTGTCGTTGCACCACGTCCTTATAAACTACTTTCTGCTTGTTACCTTACAGTGTCCATCAAAGTTGAAAAGACTTCTATCCAATAATTGTTATACATGTAATAGAAATGCCCTTAAGCAGTGGCACTGATTCATTCTAGAAAGAAAAAAGATTTGGTAATACATTGCAAGCTTGTTTTAATGTAGTTAGTCAGTAAGATATTGGTGCAAAGGTATGAAGTTAAGATTGAAAGTCACATCATTTCATTTTAAATCTAAATAGCCAGCAAAATTTGTGAGCACATTTTTAAAGAAATTGTCTAACTCATATATAACAGTATATATATTCAGTCTTTAACGTCTTGTAATCACTTATTTTCTTGAGAATTAAGCATGACATATTTAAATTAAAGCTTTGGATGAAGTATATCCTAATTAAACAACAGCTTATTAATTTGGCATCTCTCCTTTCATCATTGCCCTCCTTTCGTCTGCTTGCCCACAGCTGTCTATCTCCCGTAGCTATCATTGAAGATGCTTTTACATGGATACTATCAATCCCACACGTTAAACACACCAGGACTCGTTTCCATGGAAACTGAGGTCCCAACAGGCTTGATGAGATGCAAGAGTCGTCATTGCATGGTATCAATAATTAACCATTTGGGTTCCCTCTCTGCCTTGATCAGTCCTCTGAAGTTAGCAAGCTTGAGAGAAAAAGCAAAACAATCAAGACACAGTGTTAATGCATTAGGATCAAGAAAGTGATTCAAGAAGAAGTCAATGGATATGTTGGTAAACAATTTTATCTATCTTAAATATCAGAGATCGTTAGGTTAAGCAACCTAATTTTCATGTCAGTCTTGTGTCCCCTACTACGCCCCCTCCTTGCCATTATCCTGCGCTCATTGAATGATGTATTGGTTTAACAGTGAGGAGCATTTGTGGGGCGAATTGCAGTGGAAGTAAACTGCTTTTTTAAAGAGATTCTTCAAGCAAAATTTGGTGTAAAATCTTGATACCTTCCAGTAACTTCCAATCATCTATAAACACGATAGCAACTACTTACAAAAAATTAACCTAACGCAATTTCACATACTGAAATGTGTGAACATAACAATGATGTATTAAGTAATCTGAACCTGATTTTTGTGAAACATACAATAAGATATCTTAATTGCCCTTGAGTTGATTTTTTTCCAAAAATAGTTGTGATCAAGTATTCAAAGGGAAAAGTCCTCTAATAATATTACTGATATTTTGCTTGAATGAACACTATGCTGGTAATCAATCTGAATTATGCTACACATAGCTTTTTAAATCCTTACTTTCTTGGAGTGTTTTTTAATCAAAGCAATTATTTATTTTCTTCTTTTGGTGTGTGTGCAGGACTCTTGGGACTCGTGCCTTTTGGAATGCAGCGATTTCTCTGGTTGTGTAAGTTATCAATTTTATTTCATTACATCCATTAAGCAATTATTTGCTCCATTTACCAAAATCCATAACCATCAGGCCAAATCAATTATGTGCTCTATGAATTAAACTAACCACATTTATATTGTTTATTTATGATATTATAATAAAATAAAGTTATTAATGCAAGACAGTTTCTGTAACAGATGCTGCATTTGTGGTTCTTTCTGTGGGAAGCTCGATAATACAATGATTATAATCTTGCCTAATCATCCAAAGTGACTGATCAGTTAATCCAGAATAACACCTCATGCAGATCATCATACAAATTGCAGTTGATCTTTTATTCATTCAGTAATACGGTGGATGTATTAGATTGAAATAACAGACTTAAGGCATGGCTTGAGATTGTGTTTTAGATTGTCCTTTAATGGTAATCCCAGTCATGCGTTTCTAAACTGTGGCAATCACTCAAGCCTGGCGTAGGAGTGATACGTCATCATCTTCCCACTTGATACCCATTCATCCTTTTCCACCTGTGGAGGAAGAGGGGGAAAAACGTTGAGTATTGAGTAAAGAACGTTGAGTATTGAGTATTGCATTTATCCTTGCATGACTGTGACTGTTTCTGTGACTTTTACTTATAGCTATACAAAGTGATTTTTGTGTAGGTGTATGGGGCCTAGGGCATGGAAAGATGTGGGTATTCTTGTTCTGTGTTCTGTTTACCATTTTACCCATCTTTCACAAATGGCTACTGGCATTGAAACAATAATTTTCCAACGTCATATAGAATTTAAGGCTAGTTTTGTGCCCAAATAAGAAAGAAACAATTTTTGTGTTACTTGGGATTTATACTTTTTTCTTAAGTATAAAAATGAGGCTACATTCAAATCAAAGAATGATCTCTTTCGTGCCTCCTCTGAAGATAATGGCTTTAGGAGTATTGTGTCTATTAATATGTTTGTCCGTTTCCTGTTGTTTCATATAGAGGCATAGAGCAATAAATCATTTCAAACTCATGGTCATGTGAGGATTAAAAATATTTGTGGACTTCAAAATGATTTCTATATTGGGATAGAGTCATATTCTTTTGATATTTTGCTCAGAGAAAAGATTTTTTGGAAGGGAAATTAGGGGAAATATAGTATGTTCCCTTGGGATTAACTCATTCTGTATTTAGAAAGTTGATTCTAGCCCTGATAAGGCTTTACTTGTACATCAGACAGCACATAATTCTCAATGATCTTGGTATAAAAAAGTCACAATTTTTTTAAACATGATTTGTCTTGCCTTTTTAAATGTGCAAGAACTAGCGATTATCAGAGATTGAATGACCAGTGAGAGGTTATGCTGTTAGGTCTTGTCTTGTTTTTTTATGAAAACAATAAATTTCCTAGTAGGAAAAAAAAAGTTGGTTACTTTGATATGCTGATATTCTAAATCAAATTCATAGGAAACATACACAATTGTTCCTCTCTCTCTCTCTCTCTTGCTCTTTCTCTCTCTTGCTCTTTCTCTCCCTTGAAGTTCCTCTCTTTATCCGTCATTCTCTCTCTCTCTCTCTCTCTCTCTGTCCTTCCATCCCTGTCTCTCTCTCTCTATATTGCTTTCTTTCATTCTATTTCTCTCTTTTTCCCTCCCCTATTGCATCTGTTGTTGTTGTCATGAATATTTTTGAGTGGTTGGTCCGTCATCTACATACTGTTGATGCTGAGAGAAAAGCGATATAAACTAGATCAATTATTGATTGCGTTATATTATAGTGATAGCAATGCCTTAGGGGAAAGAAAAGGATAGCATCCACCATTATATCGAATACAGTTAGAATTGTTTCAATGGTGAAAAATATTGTAATTTGTCTTGCAGAGGGCTATATTGACAGATTTCTCATCGATTACCAATATCTTCACATCTCATTTAGATAGGTGTAGTGATATGATTATCATATGACATAATCTGAACTTTTTATTTCTTCTCTCTATATCTTTCTCTATCTCTCTCTCTATCTCTCTATCTTTCTCTATATCTCTCTCTCTATCTCTCTCTATCTCTCTCTATCTCTCTCTCTCTCTATCTCTCTCTCTCTATCTATCTCTCTCTCTCTCTCTCCCTCTTTGATTATATTATTATTATTGTATTCCTCACTCTCTCCCTTTTTTTTTATTTGTACGGCTTTCCTTTTAAGTTATTTCAACAACCCTAACCTTATATCATCACATCTGCTTCCAATATCTCATCTCTAGTGCTTCTTTATCTCCATCTATTTTGGTTTTCTACTTAGACCAGTTTCCCTTTCCTATTTTCTGTCTATCCTCTATTCATATATTGATATTCATCTCACATACCATACATTCCCCCCTCCCCTCTCTCTCTCTCTCTCTCTCTCTCTCTCTCTCTCTTTCTCTGTTTCTATCTTTTTCCTTTTCTTTCTTTTTCTATTTCTCTCTCTCTTTCTTTTTCTCTCTCTCACAGACACACACTTTCCAACCATGTAGTAAGTTTTCTTATATTATTGTTTTTTGTTTGTTTTACAGATGGACTGTGACTCACCATGTGCAAACTCTACAGGTAAGTTATGCCATCACATCAACAGTATCAAAATCATTCTCACTCTGCCATTGAACTTCTCTTCTCTCTTTTTTTTTTTTGGTGGGGGGTAAATTTTATTGTGTCCGAAAAATAATACCCTCATTCCCGGTGTAAACGAACCATTTTACTTTTCTTTTTTTCTGTATAAATTTTCATTATGTAGTTATTCTATTTACCAGAGGGGGGGGGGGGGGGGGAGGGTAATATTTCTAAAACCAAAAGAGCAGTATTAAACGCCTTCTGGCTTAAAAATCTTTGAGTGACCAGTTTTACAATACTTGTTTTTCCCAATGACTGTAGTGTAATGAAAACCGTTGGGCAAACGCAAAATTTGGTTTTGATTTCCAATCATAAATATCTTGGTAATCAGACAGGCGATTGGCTTGTAAAAGTCATGGGGTTCCTGACTGACCTAAAGGTTTATAATTTCATCGCAGCATGAGCTAAATCCAGGACTTTGTTTCAGAATCTGAGACACAGTTACCGGATCCCTTTAAAATGTAAAAGGAGTAAACCGTTTTTTTTTACATGTAATGTCCATGCAACTTTTTTTTAATAACCATTTATTATATTACATATACAGACTACACGCCAACAATGACCTCAAACTTGACCCATCCAGATCACATGACCCTGCAATGGTCAGCCGGAAGTGAAAACATCAGTACAGTATACATTCTTGAACAAGAGTCGACAGATCAAGGCTGGCATCTTCTTAACATGGTATTAATGCATGTCTTCATTTCTAATAATGTATTAGATTTATTTAAATCATATCTACATTGATATAAGACAGGCATACTTAGTATAAAGCCAGGTTTTTGTTTTGCATTATTTTAGCTTGATTTGATTATCTTTTTATTCAATATTCTTTAAAGGTACTATGTCCCTTTTGCAGCCAACCTCAAATTCTGTAGAACTTTGCAGGAATTATGAATATGTCATGTATGTCCTTTCTGTGAAATTTAAATGTTAGCAGTGTCCGAATATTTAATTATGCAAGGAAACCTGTTTACTTGCTAGACTTCACTGTCAGACAATATTGAGTGACTGACTTCCTTTTTTTTTTCTTTGATAATAACATACATAAAATGAGCTGTAAAGGGTACATGAGCATTTGTCTACATCAATAACCCACTTTTTGTTACGGCCAAAAATTAACTGATATCCAATGTGCACTATCTTTATTTATGTTTTATGCCCTAAATGGTGGTGATAATAATATGACACTATCTCATCTATTATGAAATGCTCCATGATCAATCTGGATTGTAACCATTAGTCAACTTCACTTGACTACTTTATGAGATATCTAAAATCTTCTTCTTCTTCTTCTCTATTTCATTCTTCTACTCCTCCTTCTTCTTCTCCTCCTTCTTCTTCTCCTTATTCTTCTACTCCTCCTCCTTCTTCTCCTTCTTCTTCTTCTACTACTTTTCTTCTTCTTCTCCTTATTCTTCTACTCCTCCTTCTTCTTCTCCTTATTCTTCTTCTTCTTCTTCTACTCCTCCTTCTTCTTTTCCTTATTCTTCTACTCCTCCTCCTCCTCCTCCTCCTTCTCCTCCTTCTTCTTCTTCTACTCCTCCTTCTTCTTCTCCTTATTCTTCAACTCCTCCTCCTCCTTCTTCTCCTTCTCCTTCTTCTTCTTCTTCTACTTCTTCTTATTCTTCTGATTCTGTTTCTTATTTTGTTCTTCTTTTCCTTGTTCATCCTTCTTCTCCTCCTCCTTCTTTTCTATCAGACCAGGGAGACTTCCTACACTCTGACAGAGAATGATGGATGTGGGGCTGCATTTAGTGTGGCTGCAGTCAATCTTCATGGAGTGAGCAGATATGGGTGGATTGGTCTTAGTAAGTGAAGAGAAACAATTTCTACTCCTGTGTCAAATGTTTTATTTTCATCTCTTCCAATACGTATTTTTATGCTTAATTTCAATTTTTGTAATAGAAATGTTTGTATAGCAATTGTTAAATACTTCTCAACTCTTTCGCTCAAACAACTTCCATTCTTGTCTTCTTCTTTCACTTCTTTCCACCACCTTGTTCTTTCAACATAAAAGTATTAAACTTATAATTTTGTTTTGCAATTTCGATTTCATCTTACCAATGATAAATAATTGCTGCAAAAGTTGACTTACAATATATATTTTGGTTTTGTATATGTCGATATCTCTCTCTCTATTTTAATTTGTTTGTAAATTGAACATTTTCAGCCTGCGAGCTGCTTGTTTGATGTCACAATAAAAAAAATACTGTTTTAAAACCATTTATGCTATTTATCATGTCATAGATATGATCAAATTGATATACAAACAGAGATTTTCTAAAGATTAATTAGAGTCTAGTATGAAAAAAGAAAGGTAATAATAATATTAATATTTCAACTAGTAGTTATCACCTTGGAAATCATCACAATGGCTCTAACTCTAGCAACTTTAATCAGAGCATAGTATATCAAGGAATAAATTGACCATTAGTAGTCTCATTTTGTATGCATTTAAAGGGAATTAAAAGTTAATGTTGTTTTGTTTTGTCCAATCAGATATACCAGCTTTGGATAAATCTACTGTGACACACACCGTTGATCAGAATGATGACAATGTTACTATCATAGTATCATGGCAACATCCACTAGGTAAACCATGTTTCTTTTACCATCTGGGAATACTCAGTGACATTATTCAGTTCCTTTATTCACGTATACTTCTTTTTATTCATTTATGATGTTGATTCAGAGTAGCAAATTTTCACCAATTCTGATGGTCTCCCCTAAAGCTCTGTTGTTATCTGATATAACAGTTATTGTGAAACCATAACGACATGGCAATTCCACAGCAACTGAATGGCACGAAAGTGCCGCCTTCCTAGACATCTGAATTTATTTACCAGAAGTATAAGATTAATAAATTGACAAAGTAAGATTGTGGTCAAATAGTCAGTATTGAACAAGTTTCCATGAAGGATTATATCCTCGTAGCTGTCATATCTAATGAGTTATGATAATTTTGGTTTATCGTAGGTGAATGGCTTGTTCGAATGAAATGAAATATCTGTGGACTAAACCCCTTTTCGTCCTTTCTAAACTTTTGGTGCTGAATTGTAAAAGATCCTCATATTTCTGTCCCTCTTTCATCATGATTTCTAACTATTTCTTTTCAGGTTGGGAAGATGCTATCACATCCTATATTGCATCATTTAGTTTCAACGATGGTTTGTCTGGCTCCTCATTTCATCACCATGATTATGAATTTGAGGTAAATTTCTTATTATAATTTCTTAATGCTTATTAAAAATTAAAAATTCCAATTCAAAAAGGTGGGTTTGACTTATAACAGAGTACGCCAATCTTAGGGAATAAAAGCCCAGTGAAAAGTTTTATTTCGTATTACCTGGGTGTCCCAAGCTAATTTTATTCCATATTTGGTGTACTAAATTATCATTTCATTTCTCCAATTACCCAGACTTCATGTGTTTTTTTCTTTTTCCAAGTTGAATGTGTATATCATCTCTCAAAATTCCCCAAATTTGTTCTTTTTAAAGGTAAAGACCAGTATTGGAAACGCCCCAATTTCAAAAAATGAAATGGAAGCTCTTATTACCAATCATGTGAAAGAATATGTTTTGAATATTACATGATGAAAAAAAATTTGACCGGAAACCGCCTACTAATTGATATATTTGGTAAATTAGTGTATCTCTTGCCTGTTGAGAGATATGATATGCACGTGTCGCGCACGTGTGTGTAGTCCCATATACATCTTTCTGTGTACAGTGCTTCTAACTTTATGAAGACTTGGCCAAATTTCTTATCATTTTGATGATTCCAGAACCTTGCAGTACATCTATGCTAGATGATTAACATTTTCTGATCGATTTCACAACGTTTCTTTCACAATGCAATCGCATGACCATAATTGGTCTTTAGCTTTAAGACTTTATAATAATACAGTATGTTGTTTCTCTTGTTTTTCTTTCGTGAAGGTGAATGTAACCACGGTAACCCTGACAGTACCCATCAATGATACAGAGAAAGACCTTACGTTTCAGGTAGGTAGTCAAGAAGAAGAAGAATACTGGTTTCTTATATAGCGCCTTATCAATAACTGACCACAGCGGCTTACAGGATTCTTATTACCCTGGTGACTTGATTCAACAACCTCCCTGGGGAGCATTCCAGCTAGTTGCCATTTTTCCACACATCCTATAATCTGGGGAGGGGTTTAATTCACTCACAAATAAATATGTAATAAGGTAGATGCATTTCAGCAGAAATGTCATTGAAAAAGTGGAGGAATTGTCTATAAGTGTCATCACCATCTTAAGAGAAAAGGGGTTTGCTTTCCAGGGAAGACTTCATCTGAAATACCTTTTGTATTATTCTCATTTTGTGATTGATTTAAAAACATGACAAAGGACACCCCCCCCCCCCCCACCCCCTCCGCTTCTACTGCTTGTCCTTATTTTCTAGCCTTTTCTGAAGAATCTTTTTATTTTTACAGAACAGCTACTTGACCACTTTTGCTCCATTTTCCCTGGATCAAAGATATAAATTGCTGTTTTTATGACATTTGAAGAGGCATTAACAGCCCCGGGTGTTTTAGCCAAGAAGTCGAAAGCCCCATTTTGGTTTGTTGATAGTGTTATTAATGTCTGTACTGAGTAAGTGGTTAAGCCATTAGGAGAAGAGGAATTGAATTTGTGGAGAAATAAAACACACACCATTTCTCATCTTGAGCACACAAAATGAGTTCTTGTAACGTCCAAATGACAATTAGTTTTCATTGAATTAAGTTTTAAAAGCCACTGTTTTTTTCTCTCACTAAATGCTGATCTTGCAATTTCTGAGAAATAAAATGTGTAGATGTTTCCTTTACCGGTATGCTTATTATTAAAGTATTCTCAAATTCAAGTTTGTCTGTGACTCTCTCTAGTGAGTTTTTCTCTCTCTCTTTCTCTTTTTTTCCCCTCTCTCTCTCTCTCTCTTTTATTACCAGGGTTTAATATTTTTTTTCTTTTTTCCACAGCTCTATGGCACCGATGGCTGTCGAAAAACAGTGAAGATGAGAAAGTTTTTTACAAATGTCATCAGAAGAACAGTCCTCAGTAAGTCAACAAACTTGTTAAATTTGTTATTATAAAGCTGTTCAAATCATGTAATGCATAGAGCAGCATTGGTATAGGTTTCGGTATAGGTCTAAAGGTTTATGTACATATTTGTTCAGTATTTGATACACATTTAGAAATGATTATATCTCAATCTTTTCCTCACACGTTTCTTGATAGAAATTGTTTTGTGTAAACCTACTGTTCATATCCATCTTTCTTAAATCCTCTTAGCTTCACATTATGTTAGCGCAGTGGAGAAATTTTAGTTGTACATTTATCACCACATTTTTATCACTATATACTTTAAGGAATATCTTCCCTTTAGCCATTACTCATGGTCCTCACCTAGGTTTAGTTTTGCAAATATATATGTCTTACTAAAAGATCTCAAAAGAAGATAGAGTAGGAGGCATAGTGAGTATAAGTTGACCACCAAATCGTTATATCTGCCTTTCAGTCATTTGCAGGCACGTAGCCACGAGGGGGCACAGGGGGCACATGCCCCCCCCCCCTTAAATTTCCAAGATCGATTGAACTTTTTTTGACCTCGATCAATTACATGTATGTGCCCCCCCAAACATTGAACTCTGGTCATTTGCTCTAAATCATCTTGATGTTCTTTCTGAAACAGGTATAGTGAAGAAGCGATTGTCAGCTGTCAACATTTCAGAAGCTGCTGACCTGTCTTCTCCTGGGTCTTTCTATGCTGATGTGAATTGGGTCTCTCTTCCAGGCTTGCATCAAGGTCTTAAATACTATGATCTTTACTACGGTGAAGTTGTGAAACACTTTTTCTCCTACCAGTACCTTAATATGAGTACCAGGAAAACTGTACAAATACCAGCGGTAAGTTAATATTTTCTCCTTTTTTCCCCTTTTTTCATATTTTTATTCAGGTCTGAAACAAATTGGGCACATATGCTAAGTTTGCCAAACAAAGACTCAATCATATATTCAAAATGTTAGTAGACCAATCAGGTCATTAAGCTGAACACATCGCAAACTCATGATCATTTTTTTTTTTTTTTTTGTGGGGGGGGGGGGGAGGGGCTGGAGTTGTACTTCATTCTTGAAATACAGCAACGCAGTGACTTCAAACTTGTGGGATAATATTTCTACAACACCTTAAAGTCTTGCTCTCAAATTATTACAATATAAATGCTAAGAATTTCCGGAAAATAAAACAAATAGTTTCTCTTTGTTATAATTTTTGCTTTAATTTAATTGACAGTATAATATGCAGGATGTGGTAGCTCTGGGAGAATAGTTTTGATTTGACAGCTATTTCACCTTTGTCACTTACAGAATGCAACTGAGTTTAGAATAACAGATCTGAAACCAGAAACAGTTTATGGAGTTGAGGTAAGAAACTATGTTTTGTGAGATGTGGATTAAATGGGAACATTATATATATATATATTGCATACTGAAAGCACCTTTATTTAACTTCTTTATGAAAGTCCATGTCAACGCTACTCTTGTTTCATGCTAATTATCCAAACACAGCTAAATACATTCAGTAGGTTAGTTTATACCCATTTTTCCTATCAACCTCGCTTGTGCAGTACAATCCATTGTCGTACAATTATATAAATGTTTATTTGTTATTGTTTAATAGATAGTGGAAGGGATGATGGAGATTATATATAGTTTAGAGTTAATCAATTTGATCTCTTATTTGATAATTAAGAGATAAGTTAATATTCATGTTTCAAGTATCTGGTGTTTACATTAGCAAGCTGCCTCTAAACAGCTACCTCACACAAAAACAAAAGTAACTCTTGGAGATTGCACTTTCCGTTGCGCCGCTCCAAATCTTTGGAATAACCCACAACTTGACATAAGAAAAGCCTCATCTGTTGCTGTCCTCAAAGTTTTCTTTGTTGAAGATGCACTTGTTTTCAGGAGCTTTTAAACAGCTTTTTTATATTGTGTCTGATAAAGTAGCCCTGTTAGGAGTGTTGTTTTCATCACAGCGCAATAGAGCATGTTTATACAGTAACTGTATATGATATTGATCTAATTATTAGTATTATATTATTTCTGTTTACACAGTGATACTTCATTTGATAACTTTCAAACCACTCATTTCTGTTTTGATCTTACAGATAATTGGTCATTACTATACCTATGAGGATGAAGATGATTCTTATTCTATTGGTCGACATCCCAATAAGCAATTCACTACAGGTAAAAAGCTGTTGCTAATTTTCCCATCGTGTCATTACCCTAACTTTTGAAAATCAAGTGTTTTGATAATGAAATTTCATTCATTTTCTTTTTCCTGCTCTGTTTATTATTCTCCTAACATTGTTCCAATTAATTAAATTCATTAATTTCATATCTTTTTTGTTTCCCTTCCCAGATTTTGTTATGAAATGACTGTAGAAAGAAAAAAAAATCTAAGGCTTTAAGAGAAAATACTTCCTTTCTCTCACCTCTGAATGTTAATCAGTAATTTAGTTTGGACAAGTATTATATAATAATAATCTAACTAGTTTCTTAGAAAAGTTCATAACTGATTAAACTTTATGTGTTCATTTCATTCAGGTGTTTTCCCTACCATGCCCACTACAAGAGTGCATACCACGGTCAAGTCCTACGTGGTGACCATACCCTACCCTCCCACCAGGCTTCCATTCCACAAGCTGAGTCTGTACATCGTTGGACCACTAGCCCTTGCCCTGTTCCTGGCCTTCCTAGCCTGCTGCGGGACCTGTATCTACCGACGGCAAAGGACCATATCCAAGGCTAATCTATCACATGACGAAGAGAGCATACCAAATATCTACTCCTCGCCTTCGTACCCTGCTCTACTCAGCACGTAAGTAACTGAATTATAAGGATGCATGTCTCTCTCGCAAGAGTGATGAAATGTACCTACTCCCTTTCTGTCAATCCTTTAAGAGATATCTGAGGTGAATTGGTGTTTTTTGTAGAAAATCGGTTGTTAATTGATGCATTTTCCCTTTTTAAAGTTTTGTGGTGTTATGAACTGACTAGAGATTAAATATACCCTTTTTTAAGAGAAGAACAAACTGTTGACTCTTTTGAAGAAAAAAGTCTTGGCAGTATATCGAAAAACCAAGAAATGAGCAAATATGTTTTACTTATCTTAAGGTGATCATGATTAATGGTTTCAAGGAAATATTATAGTATTAATGACTGCTTTGAGAGAAATAGTTGTTTTATTACGCTCAAGGGAAGGTTAGAATTGTGCTATTCCCCGAGGCTTGCCGAGGGGAATAGCCCAATTGTAACCTTCCCGAGAGCGTATGAAAACAACTATTTCTCGAATATTAAAGCAGTCATTAATACTTTTATATGCCGAAAAAAAATAGACTAAAATATGAAAAATGAAAAATATTTATCATTTTGTCGAAGACGGGATTCGAACTCTTGCGTACAACAAGAGGTGTACCGAAAACCAACGCTTAGACCACTCGGCTATGGCCCGCCGTTAACATGCTTGGCAGTTTTCTCCAATATATACATTAAAATGGATTGAAACCGGCTTCGCGTGTGATGAATGCTTCGCAAAAGCTCCATATACGGACTCTTCTTTTACTTTTGCAATGCATATTGGCACGAACTTAGATCAAGATCTATCGGCAGATGTTGTTTTTTTGTTTTTGGAAGTTTATTTCGTCTTCATGTCAACAATGCAAGATAAAATTGTCGGTAAGATCGATCGAGATTCAATTGTATTGAAATTACCGACCAATCCTTCGCACACATACGGCATCCTCCATCGCTCAAACCATTTTTTAACATGTAAACCTATGGGGTAACCATGGAGGCTGACCAACTATTTTTAATAACCATGGTTATTAAAAATATTGAAATGTTTTAAGCATGGTTACCGAGAATTTTACAGGAACAGTTGAAGTTTATGAATGCAATTCGACCAATCAGATGGCTGGATTTCTTAAGTGAGGTATATAACATCAATTAATGTATGAATCGATAACGGGTAAAAATGTGAACAAGTTTTTTCTATTCAATTCACTGAGTAGTTATAATTTTTGTTTACAAGTATTGTAAGGTAGATTCAGAAGCCATTTAATTACTTTTTACGCAAATATATGAGCTGCTGAGAGCGAGAAGAGCTTTAACTCTAAGTACAATACTATTAGATAATGCCTGTCTGAGACTCCCAGCAGACAAGATTCTTGAATGCTCAATTTTTTACAAATTAAACCACCTTCCAATGTTCACCATCTTACAGCTGTCAAGTAAAACCGGATGTGATGGACCGATGGGAGATCAGCCCGGCACGCATCAAAGTGGGAGATGTCCTAGGGGAGGGGGCCTTTGGTCAGGTCCTGAAGGGGCTGGTGGTAGGGCGTATCTGGAGTCACCAGTCCTCCTGTCTGCTATCGTACCCAGAGAGGCAACGCATGGAGAACACACTGTGGTAGCTGTGAAGATGTTGCATAGTGAGTAGAATTACATCTCCAAGGTGACACTGATAGTATGAGATGAGAAACAGTGATAGACATATGGGAGTTCACATCTGAACAGGGTTTAACTGACACCTTACCATTTAGACAACAGAGGGTCTGTGAAAACCACAACAACACAGATTTAACACTTGACTATTAAAGCTACTTTGAAAAAGCTTTAATGACTGCAAGAATTATATTATAAATTGGAAAGCATACTGTAGTGAGGTTGATACAATTGTCCCAGGTATTTTATGAATGATATTCAAATAAACTGGAACCTGTCCGAAAAATATCTGGAAGGGGTTCCACATTTAGTAAGAGCTTCATCCAGATTAGGTAAACGTTTAAAATATAAGTCTTTTATATTTACCCTCACGAAGATGGTGAGAAAAATGCCTGTAAATAACTATAATATGGAGGCTGAACAGATTCAAATGATAGTTTAAAGAGTTTGAGAATGATCTTCCTGTGAGAATTATAAGAATCTACGTTCTTGGTGTCTTATTCACAGAGTTTGCGGAGGACACCCAAAAGCAGGAGTTCTTACGTGAGATTGAGCTGATGAAGGAGCTTGGTTACCATCCTAACGTAGTGAGTCTCCTTGGATGCTGTACCATCCAGGATCCTATATGTCTCCTGGTGGAGCACTGCTATTATGGAGACTTGCTCCACTTCCTCAGGAATAGACGTCCACAGGTGAGATGAGAACAAGTACTGTGACATTCCTCATCCTCTGACCCTTTGACCCTTGAACCTGTTAGATGTGATCAATATTGGTATAACATGCATTTCCCAAGACTCTAGCTCAACCACAAGATTAATATTCAACAGGTACTTTGCAAAAAATGTAGCGAGGAGAGATAAGAATAAATATTGTTCTTATTTTAGCTTGTTCTAATATCTTCTGTTTTATAGAGAGTAGTTGTCATCAATAGTCTCAGAATAAAAAATTTGTCTAATAAACCTCTTTAAATAGAATGTGATATATATTTGAAATTCAATTTTAATGGATTTCAATGTGAGTTATCTCATGCATAGTCTGCAACAAGCTAAACTCATGTATTTGGGGCAGTTGGGCACTGTATCATGAAAAAGAATGATTTTGATCTTGCAGTCTAACAAACATAAGTCCACATTATTGGATTTGCTTTGACATAAACTTTCAAGTATGTTTATCTACGTTATTTTATCGTAATTATACCTTTACTTTGATCTTTATCTTTATAGATGTTTGACCAATTCAAGACAGGTAGAGCTCCACGTACACCAAGCAAGGATGCACTCAGGCCTCTGGACTTACTTTCATTTGCCAGACAGATTGCTATGGGAATGGTAAGATTGAATTTTTATTTCAGTCTGATCCTAGATCAAGCATTTGCCATTGTGAATGCATTCGCTCTTCAAATAAAAAAATTACTATTGCCTTTGTTCTAATAAAAATATATATATATATATATATATATAAAATTTAACCTTTGATCAATATTAATGAATTTTCGATATCTGTAACTTTATATAAAAAGTTTTGAATATATTACACTTACCCAAAGTTATGATAACTCTATCGATATGAACTTTAGAAAGCATAAGTACATATGGTCTATTTTTTTTAAGGTTCCTTCGTGAGTGAGTGAATAGAAAGCTGAAATGACAAGTTTTAATTTATTTCCTCATTTTCATGGTTACTGATCTCATTTTGTGGACCCTGTGGAAGATGAAGCTTCGTGCTAAACAAAAGCTACTTATTCAATCTGTTTTTAATACATATCTTCTTTCATTATCATCATATAAATGAATTTATATGTAATATATATTTTAACCCATCCAGGAATATATATCTCAGAAAGGTTTTGTTCATCGCGACCTGGCTGCTAGGAATGTGATGGTAGCAGACGATAAGAATGTAAAGATTGGTGATTTTGGTCTTACACGGTACGTCTACGATGACAAGGTTTATGTGAATCGACGAGGAGGGAAGCTGCCAGTGAAATGGATGTCCCTTGAAGCTATCTATGATCAGATCTTCACAACCAAGGGCGATGTGTAAGTCATCTTTTGGATTATATCCAAAACAAGCAATTTGAAGAGTTTAGAAAGAAAGAGTGAGATGAATTAGTGCTAATTTTTTTACGTTAATTGTTTATGATGATTGCAGGAATATACATGTGTCAAAATACAACAAATTTTGCAAATATTTATGAATTAAGTTGTACTTTTAGTCCATGCATCTCTTATTCCATCACAATCCCATTTAAAATTAAATGCACTTTTGGAAATTTATATTGTCCATATCGAAACATTTCCAAGATAAAGTTTTCAAATCAAAAGTATATGTGAGCATAAGATTATATAGATGTAATATTTGAAAATAAAACATAAATGTCATACTTCTTTTGTTCCTTTTCCATTCCAGATGGTCATACGGAGTTGTGCTATTTGAAATTGTGACTCTCGGTGCAGCACCATACCCAGGCATCTCAAATAAAGACATGCCCAAACTTCTAAAAGGAGGCTACCGCATGGAGAAACCTGACAACTGCTCTCCTCAAATGTAAGATATTATACCTTTTTTGAATATTACAGAACATTATCCCATTGTTCTAGTAATCAGCAGATATACATTTGTGATCCTAAGCAAAAAATAATTGGCTTCTTTCATTTACAAGTCAAGCCTAATTCGTTTAACTCCACTCAGTCCTGTACATGTTGCAAACCTTCTCAGTACCAATGAGGAGGTGTGAGAGTTGAAGGAAGTTCTTCATGTGGAACAATTATTCCATTGTAAATAGAATTTGTAGTATGTTTCAGGACTTGACATCTCAAATTGCCAGCTTAATACCTGGTTCATATATCCAGTTGGCAATTGCATGCAAAATGTTGAAGCAAGATCATGCTTGTCAGATTTTGGATGTTTAGTGCTTTGGATGTCTATAGCCACTGATATGCCTGTCTGTGTTCTATATGAATTTATTGCTTATTTTTTTCTTTCCATATTCAATACCAAACTAGATTCAGTCTAATGGAGTCCACTTGGTGTGATGATCCTGAGCTTAGGCCAGGTTTCACTGAGATACGCAACAAGCTCGAGGAAATGATGGAAGAAAATGTCTGTTATATGGAGTTTGATGCAGAGAAACAGCAGTGCTACTGCTATGAAGACTCCAGCTCCGATGACGACAGCGAGGATCTTAACGTGGAAGAGAGTCCAATGTTGGAGCCAACCAATCAGGATACTGCACAGAACAGCCTCTTGGCCACGCCCATGCTCAAGATCCCGACTGGGGCGGTCCTGCAGAGCCGGAGCACCCAGAATCTGAGTGCGGTTAGTCCATGCAAACGTATGACGCCTGTGAGTTTGAGTCTCAACAGTTTGAATCACCAGAAACAAATACCACCATCTTGGATCCCTAGGGACTTGGTCCCGTTTGGACGCAACTTCGACAATAGGGCTTATTATGCCGGACAACCTAGGGCTGATGATGGTATTACCCACAGTGCATTACAAATACAGGAAGCGCAACAAGACATGAATCTTTATTCAGGTATCGCTGGGTCATTAGAAAACATGCACAATAATCAAGAGAATCCCGTACTGGCAGAGCTTAATCTGGAATGCCCACATCCTGATAGCTTGCGACTATACAACAATGAATCGGAAAAAGACAAGAGCAGCGAGAGCGTGGAAAGCAGTATCGATTCATGCCTGTGTGAGGATATCTCTGATGAAGAGCGCCATCACATGATTAAAGAATTCACCCGCAGTGACACATTTGATACGTCAGACCTTTCCCCCGATACGGGCAAGTACCCATCTCTTATTGCTCTCAAACGGTTTACTGCCGAAGGCAAGGTGCTCATTAGCCCAACTAGTTTGGATTCTGGGGTGTCATGTGACATGACGACGGGTCGACTGCTACTGGAAGGTTGCAGAGAGACGGACCTGTGTTCAGATGAAGATTTATCAGTATAAACATGGCAGCCATAGACAATGTATTTTCACCAGTATCTATCAATGCAGTCATATAATAGTTTATGCTGTATTAATAGTTTTATCAAGAGCATTTAAGTAGTACTGAAATTCATTCTGACTTGCACTGGTACATATCTCAACTTATGTTTCATATGATACACTTGTAATTTACATTTTGTAAGTCTGACTGTATTTATTGATAAATTGAAGCATATATTTGGGTAATCTGATATTTGATGAAAGAAGACAATATTTATTCAAAAGGCAGCTGATGGTTGGAGTGAAAACTATATATAAATATATTTTTTCACCGGAATGTGCAATATGAGCTTGTATTCCACCATGAATAATGTTTTTTTTTATTAATGTTATTCATACATTGGCTATTCCAAACATCTTAGTATTCTAGAAGTGTACAAAATTACAGGCTTAAACTGTCATGTTAGAAAGCAAAATAATTGTGAGTTTTGCCTCATCAGTATGTAAAAGGAAAGCATATTTTAGAAACATACATGTAGGTGTAAAAAATTTGTATATTGTATTATACGTCTTCTTTAATGATTGGAAAACGGTTACCGGTATTAGGTTATGATTTTAATAAAGGCCATATATTTCTTTGCTGACCATTGTAATCATACTTTGTGATCTCTTTTGTTACAATTTAAATTTCATAACATTATTTTATACTACTAGATGTGGACATGGAATATGTGTTTGATTTAAAAAATAATTAAGGTAGAAAGTTAGCCATTACAAATGTCAGCAGAATAGTTTTGGAAAGAAGACGGCCCACACCAATCAAATATGACACTATATTAAAGAAGATCGTTTTTAAAGGAATTGAGCAGGAAATAATGTCAGTTATCATTTGCCCATCTACTCTGTTATGATATTCATAATGTCGTATTATTGAAGGAACACGGAGTAAGCTTTGCTGTCGATTATTCAAAATGATTTTTTTTAAATATTTATTAAAGAGGAATATTAAATGTGTTAGCTGAAAACATTGCATATTTTAAGCAGTACTATATCTTCCAATCAAGTTCCAAGTGTTTTTTCAACCTCATAAATTACATTCCTTAATGGTTTAATATTGACAAGTTTTGACAAAATCCAAATATTTGTACAATATTAATCAAACTATCTCAATATGTTACAATGTGCAAATTATATTTCCATCTGTAAAAAATGCCATTTGCAAAATTCATTTTTGTGCAATATTCACTTTCTTGCCATTTGTGATTTGATTATTATGTCTATTTATGTTGTATAAATAATTTCATGGAAGAAAGAAGCTGATTGTATATATTCTTTGTATATTTCTAGAATATATATCTGGAGGAGATATAATGAGAATTATATATATTTGATTCCTTTCAAACAATAATTAAAGGAAAGGGTAAAAAAATAATAAGATTTGTAAATAGGGGGAAATACAGAGCTACAAACAAATGTGAAAAGGAAGAAGTAAATTTGTTTTTCTTTTCTATACATGCGTTTTTTTACAAAGACTTTCTCAATGCTAAAAGCAGAAGTAGGCTCAAAAGAAGATAATCTGAAATTAGTCAAATTTTTAGTTGTAGAGAGGCATATTATGTTGTTGTTTTTAATTAGAAAATGTACATCTGATACAAAAGATCTAAAGAGTTTGTGTGTATATATCCAGATTGATTTGCAATGAAAACTAGAGTTTATTTTTGTAGTATTTATCTTAAGTTTTTATAGTTATTGATGTATGTAGTATCCTTGTTAATTTCTTCCACGATTTGTGAATTGATGTATACAATATGACTAAATGTTTCATCCATGTATAGTTTTAGGTAAATATTTTTCATTCCTCTCTGTTTAATTGTGATTTTAATACCATGATAAACAGTTGTTGTGATAGAATAGGTTTTTATGTATTTCCATATTTGGATTGGTATTTTGTATATTTGCTTACTAGTGCAACATTCTAAATATTTATAATTGCAATGGACTTCCTGATTCAAGCTTAAACCTAAAAGCACTCAGTTTACATCATTCAGTAAAATTTCTGATTTTGCATATGAGTACATGAGTAATATTATATGTATGAGCACAATAGCATATATGTGTCCTGGAAGTAAAATTAGGAAACTAAAGTGGATTTAAATATTAATGTACTAGATGAAGCCATGAAGTGACACCCATATGGGGGAGCACTGATGTTAATTTATTAGTATTAAAGTAAAGACCAGTTATGGTCATGCGATTGCATTGTGAAAGAAACGTTGTGGAATCGATCAGAAAGGTTGATCATCTAGCATCTAGCATTTGCAAGGTTCTGGAATCATCAAAATGATAAGAAATTTGGCCCATTCTTCGTAAAGTTACAAGCACTATACACAAAAAGATGTATATGGGACTACCCTATATCTCTCACAGACCATGAGAGAAACAAATTACCAAATATATGAATTAGTGGGCGGTTTCCCGGCAAATTTTTTATCATCATGTATTAGTCAAAACATATTCTTTCACATGATTGGTAATGAGAGCTTCCATTTCATTTCTTTGAAATTGGGCGTTTCCAATACTGGTCTTTACCTTTAAGGCCTATTATGAAAGGGTCCTAACATTCTCTTGTTCTCTTCCTTCTCCTGTTCATTTTCTCCTTTTCCCCTTTTTTCACATTTGATGGGGCATGTAGCCCCTTTCCCCTATCCCTGTAGCTACACCGCTGAGTAGTAATATTCTAAAAGAGGAACACTCTTGCAATCTTTTATGTAGATTTCAAAGAAACAGTCAAACATTTCTTCTAGTTACATGAATGTTTAATTGTTGTTTAAGTGTGATATATTATAAAAGCCAGCAATTGAGTATTCATACAGTGATTTTTATCTGCCTTCCTTAGCCATGGTGGAGTATAAGGAACAGATTGAGTATATGATAAATGTGTAAATATTTGATGAATAATGGAGATTTCAAACAATTGGTTTGTTAAAATATGAAAATGTTTTTATATTGTGTGAATCAACATGTTCTGTCGTCATGATGTGGGGTTTGTGTGTAGAGAGACATGGGGCAGTTCTCGTTGCCAAGGCAAACTAAACTTTCACTACTGTTTAACATTTTATGCATTTCTGTAGGTAACATACTTTTGTTAATTCAAACAATACTATTATCAAAGTACCACAGCATTTGTGCAAGCAAGAAACTGTCTTTTTACAATCTTATTTATAAGTACAAGGAAAAGAATACAAGAGTATAAACATGAATATTGAGACACTCTAATTTGTTTTAATCTACTAACTTTCATGGTTGTTATATTATCAATAATGGGATAAATGTAAAATTTCTTCCAAACTGCACATTTACAATACGGTCCAGACACCACTATTTTATCAACGTGACAATGAAATTGTAATGAATCTGTAATTTTCAGAAGAAAAAGCCTTTCTTCGCAGTAAAATGCACAATTTTACTGAACTCTGTGATTGTACTTTTTAAACTCAAGATAGATTCCTATTACTGATGTGTTATGGAACAGCATATTTTCTCTCTCTCTCTCTCTCTCTCTCTACTCATGGTCACACAATAAATGCACATTTTACAAACTTAAAATTTGGCTTGACACTCGGTGTATTTGTACAAAAGTATGGCTTAAACAAGACAATTCATTTATTTTCTCACCAAACAACCCTTCCCCCTGCCCCACTCCCTCTCTGTCTCTCTCTCTCTCTCTCTCTCTCTCTCTCTCTCTCTCTCTCTCCCCCCCCCCCCCCTCCCCCTCTCTCTCTCTCTCTCTCTCTCTCTCTCTTCTCTCTCTCTCTCTCTTCCTTAGACATACACACATTACGCTTTTTTATGTTCTTCTTCAAACTTCCTTTCTTCTGCCGCTTTGCTTCTTCAGTCCCTTTTAGTCTCTTTCTGTCATATATATATATATATATATATATATATATATATATATATATATATATATATATATCCCCTCTTTTCTCTTTTCTCACATTTCTTTTGTTTATTTCTCCCTCTTGTCCCTCTTTCTTAATCCTTTTCACCTCCCTTTGTTTGTAAATCTCTTTCACACCCCTTTTCGTCTTTTTTCTCATGTAATATATATAATAAAGTCATTTCTTGCTTTGTTTTACATTTTCGACACCATCAAAATTCTGCAGCCATTGGTGAATTTGCAAGTCGAACACTTTATTGCCCTGTGTCTTCAATTCGAACAAGCGCCATCTTCGATCTGTTTTTACAGGCACATTCGTCAGCTTACTAAAAAATATATCATTCAAAAACTCGAGCAATAATAACTCTCGCATAATATATGAAAGCGCTTGGAAAATATGCGTCTCTGAGAGACGACGATATAAAAGTGTTCAAACCATGTCTTTTCAATTCTTTTCTTCTCTTTATCCTCATTATTGGGTGTATTTAACATTGATGTCCGAGTAAACTTTCCATATAGGCCTAATGTTTAAAATGTGTGGTATAAGAATTCCGCTTCTCGGGGTAATTCTGTGTCTGACCAATTTGGGCAAACTGTTACCCAAGTTGAACCTAAAGTTGCATTAAATTGGTCGAACACATAATTTACCTCTGTTGGTCACTGTTATACTAGCTTTTCAAGAGTGTCTAACGACTTTCAACAGTCACGCTCATGATACCCGATCTCAATTCCTTTTCCACAATGACACCTCTTGCCATCTCAGTTTCCAGAGAACGGGAGCGAAATGATGATATCATGATAATTGACAAGGAAAAGGTCATAGACCTATCTTTTTTCTCTTTCTCTCGCATTCTCTTAAAACATAAGGTAACGCGACGATAGACGGGACTAATAAAACTGTTTTTAACGTGACAGGCTACCCCTTGGCCTTCCCATGCTAATCGCCGTGGAGATTTATTTTCGAAACTAAACCTTGATGATGCATTATAGTCCAAGGTAGACAAGTCCCAATGGCGTTTAGATCTAGTTTTGTTACTGTTATAATGTACTCAAACAGGTAGGTAGACGTCTCATCTTGTCAATATGTCGTGTTTTATGTTTTAGCAAGTGATTAAAAAATTGTTATCTCCTAAATCAAAATCAACTATTAGCACGGACGTCCCGACGGACGTGCTAATAGTTGTGATGAATACCACTTCTCTTCATTTTCAAACAAAATTGTTTATGTCATGGTTTTTATTCTTCCTAATATATATATGAAACGTCCTCTTCGTTTAGGATATTTTTTTCGAACTTTCCTCGCACCCCCATTATTATAATAATAATATATAATAATAACTAGTTCTTATATAGCGCTTTTCAGGACCGAAGGCCCTCTCAAAGCGCCCCAGATATAAATTCCAATACCCCGGTCATCGGATTCAGGCTTACCGGCACACAATGTATGCACATTCTCCACTCCCTGGGGAGCATTCCAGCCAGGCGTCATTTTTACAAGCGCACACTTGCTAATCTAAGCACATTAGCTTTCGCATCCTACCGGGTACCCATTTAACACCTGGGTGGAGAGTGGCAAATGTAGATCAATATCTTGCCAATGGACATTAGTGCCGCGGTGGGTCAATCATTTGTAATTGATGTAAAGTGACCGCCTCGATAGGATCCCTAAATGTATATAATTAATTAATAAATCAAGTGACTTTGAGATTTATTGGGTGCAACTGCGTCAATCTAAACTCAACGGACTGACTATTAAAGGTAATACAAAGTTTTGGTATAGGGTCATGAATTTGGTTCAAATGAACATATTGGAAGCATATGCGATCCTACAATATTCATTATTCAGTGATCGTTGTCGTGGTTGAAATCGAGTCTAAAGTTGTGAAATTGTAAATAATACACTCTTTATGTTGTATAGCTCCCTCTCAAGGTCATGATATTAGTTAAGCTATCAAACAGTGTTTCTTGACTAAAATCGACCGATTAGCTATTCCCATTTGGAAATTATATATCACAACTACATATTCTGAGATTTCCATGGTCGCAGCTACCATTGTACGGCCGTAGGTGCTATGTGAAATTTATTGAAATTTACCGGGAGCACCGGTAAATTTTTATATTCAATTTTTCTCAAACCAGAAGTGTTTTAGGGGCTAAATTTTCTAGTGCTTATAAAACATCCACAGGGGCATCCAAATATATCAAAATTGTAAAGAATCACTATTCACCAAATTTTCAAAATTTCCCAAAACTTTGTATTACCTTTAAGCAAGGCTTTCATCCCCCTTCATGCCCACGCCCAAAACTCAATCAGATTTTCAAAAGCCCGAACATAAGGCTTTCCCTGTGAGAATGGATACTTGCAAGGTGGAATGATGTCTGTATTACCAGACTAAATCGGAATTCCCTTCATATATGAAGTGACAAGGTTCATTTACACTGCAACCAAAAATTTGCGATTTTTCTCACATTCCGGTGTTTCTCGCAACTACCGACAAATACGACGAAAAAACAGAATCGAAAAAATCCCTCTATAAAGTGTGCATCTCTATAAAACGCCTGCCGAAATTTCACCAATTCATGCCGTGTGGATACCAAAATATACCAAAATGTGTTATCGCTATAAGTTTCATAACCCAACACCAAGGTAGTCTTTTCAGTCTTTAGACGCAGACTTGAAAATATATTTGTATTTGGAATCTCGGTGAAGAAAAAAACCCAAAAATTCATTATCCAAAATAAAGTTTGCACTAGCATTCATGGAAATATGGGGGGAAAATTGGAACCGTCTGGAAATGATTGGCATGCTCGGTATGGTCGCGGTCTGATCGTGTATTTCGACCCGTAGTGCTCTCATCCATCATCTCATACTGATATCATACAGGTGTATAACTTTCCCCCATCTCAGGATTCAAGATTTATGAGGAAAGGTAAGATCTTAAAAGGAAATTCAGTCTGGCTGCCTTTTTTGTATATTGGAAGAGAATTTTATTTCTAGGATATTAGGAAAGATGAATATTGGGGGCGCATTATCTATCTTTCTCAACGAATAAAATAGAAGAAAGTGATGATGTTAAATTTTGAGTATTAATAAGTTACAAACAAAATTTGAAAATCCCCACCCCAGAAACAACAAACAAACTAATATACATCAGTATCAGTCAAGTTTTCCCGGCATAAATACATGGATGGCTCAAAGATCAATGTTTTCCCTGCCCCCTCCCCCCACCTCTCTGGAAGGGGCCTATCATTACCTTCAAACCACTTACATCTCCATCGTGTTCTTAATGGGGGCGGCAATTCAAAGAGCACACCTACATACCAACTTTG